TTCCTCGAGTGTGAGTTGTTAATAGGGCCCTTTCTGTTTGCAAATGATAAATTCGAGAAGACTCTACAGGAACACAAATTAGCTGCTCGTTAGCAGGCGATCAGAGCTGCTGCCTCCATCCTGGTCTGCAGCAGGGGCCCTGGGCTTGGAGAAGGTGGATCAGGTGAGGGTCTGACCTAGTTCTGGTTGGTATGTTTGAAAACATCCAAACCCAGGCAGGTCCTCACATCCCACTTGCGGCACAAAGCGCCTGATTTGGCAACCTGTGCTGTGAATGGCTGGAATTTTTTTCCTCCTTAGATTTGAGCAGCCACTAAGTGTGGGTGAGGAGCTCTGTGACCTGTAGAACACAGCCTGGAAGAGCTCATCAACAAAGGGCAGCAAGGGATGATTAGGAATTGGGAGACAGTTGGTTCCCTGCTACCCACTGATGCTGAGCCCCGTTTTCACTGCCAGGGAGAAAGAGGCCTCTGACCTACCTGTGACGAGGAATCCAGTTATTCAGTGGGAGTAGCATCCATTTATCAGCCCCCCCAAAGCCCTGCTCTGCCATCTGAGGCATTTGACAGGTGTGAGAAGGCACTTGGCCTATTTTTGTTGTGCAGCAAATCCTTTTTCCTGCTCTCCTTGGGGCTCAGTCCCATCTTTGGATCTGAGCTCACTGCTCTCTGTCACTGCCATGGCAATGTTCTGTGCCTGAAGGTAGAATTTGGCAGTGATGTGAACAGATGATATCTGTAATCTTCCCCCAGATGGGGACCCAAAGGACACCAACAGGTGCTGATGAGCATCCAGCCAGCCTGTTTGTAAATCCTACATGGATCTTACGGAGACTTGGAGAGAACTTGGACTTCCTGCAGGAACAGAGGTGAGGGTTTAGTCTCTTTATCTGGGTTGCCCGTGTAGGACTTTAATTGCCACAATGGCCAAAAAGCCCAGCTGATGGTTCCTCCTGCTGTGTGTCACAGCTGGGTGTGCTGCTGCCTCTTGTCCTTCATGTGAAAACCTTTCCTTTCCTATAATCCCTAGGAAAGCTAATCCCAGAAGTTACATTAGCATGAAATAATCAGTTCCATCACTGGTAGAATTCCAACATGCCCATGAACCCCTGGATTTATTTAAAGCAATGGGGCAATATATGTTCACCTCTGCTGAGCTGCAGTTGGTTTATGGGCCTGTGCAGAAGGAGTAACTCCAGAAGTCCCACCATCACTGCTATTCACTGATTTAAAACATGAATCCTCCTAGCTTTTCACTTGTCTGCTTCAGAAAGTCACTTGCCTTTGTTTCCCTTCACCATCCTTTGCTGTACGAGCCCAGAAAACTGCCTGAACCAGCCTTTCCTTGCATCCTCAGCAGCAATTTGCCTTCCTGATCTCTCTGTCTCCAGATCATTCACCAGAAATCCTCTTGATTTTCCCCTTGATTCCCAGGCCTTCTGCCGTGGGAGCTCCATGGAGACAGATAAGCTGTCACTGGTGACAAGGCACGTATCCTGTGGCCAAATACTCACCACTAAACCTTTCCCCTCCCCTCTCTTGCTGAGACTGCCAATGTGTGAGGATTTCCTGGCGTCCCAGGGGTGATTTTTAATTTCTGTGGGCTGTTCTTATTTAGGGTGGCTGAGACTCTGCCTCAAAGAGACTTTTTTTTTTCATGAATTTTTTCTGTCAAAGGTACTTTTAAATGCAAAGTGTGGCTCTGTTTAAAGGGAAGAGAGGGGGGAGAAAGAAGGCAAGAGGAGGTATGACTTCAAGACTGTGAAACACAACCTTGTCCAGAGCAGCTCAGACTCCTGCAGTGTGTAAATACCTTCCCTACCCTTCCCACCGGGCTCCAGGGATCTTCCACGGGATAATGAGTCGGAGTCCAAATAACGGCCCGTTTGGGATGATGGATGGGGGATGTTGTGCACACACCCAGAATGTGTCATTTCCAATCTAAAGGGAAGCAATTGTTTCCATATGTTGGCACGTTTGGGGGCTTGGTGTGGAGCCAGTTGTCTGGCTGTGATCAGGCAGCAGCATCTCCCAGTGATGGAAGATTATACCTTGGGAGGGGGGTGCTCACTTTAGGCTGTATTCCTTAAAAGGGTATGAACTCTGAACACTTATCCAGGGTGTAATTTATGGCTCCAGCATGTTTTGACTTTCCATAGATGAAAAACCAGCCCTTTTCTCTATGCCTATATGCATAAAAATTCCTCCCTGCCCCTGTCCCCCCCTTGAGGAATCCAATGGAACAATAGCTGCTGCTGGGCTGTGTGCTCCCTTGGCTGCATGGGCTGTGCCTGCTGAGGCTTAGAAGGATTCCCCCTCTTTAAACCCAGTTCCTTAGAGGTATTTTAACAGCTACATCTAGTTTTGTTAACTCAATCTAGTTCTGGTTGCTCAGCTGGAATTCAGGCTCTTGGACCAGCTTTTAGAGATGCCCTGCACCTACCAAACCCACCTGTTTGGGAATTTGGTTTTGTTTCTTTTTTAAGGTGTCAAACTAGTTGCATGTTGCTGCACAAATAGATTAATATGATTTTCAGACTTCAGCACTAAGATTCCTCCCTGCCAAGGCCCTGCTAAGTCTGCATCAAGCACAGGTACCCCAGGGAGAGGAGAAGCTAAAGGCTGCTGGGAGAGGGTATTTTTAACATAGTAAGAAGGCACCAATTTAAAATATTCTGCGAGTTCCCCAGCTGTCTGCAATTCCCTGAACCACCAGCACTGGAGCAAAGCTGCCTGATGGTGATCCAGCCAGCGAGGGATCACCACATCCTTCCTGAAGCTTCCTGGCAGCACAAAACCTACAGGAGATGTTGTGTGTGCGACCCCATTTGGAAAACACACAGGCAGGTCAGCAGAGAGACACAGGCTGCTTTCTGTGTCGTGGCCAGGCCAGTCCTTTGGGATAATCTCAGGATGGAATCCCAAGAGGGATTTTTTTCCTCTCCCTAAACGATGAGTGATCATCAAGCTTTTAATTGTGCAGCCCTGCAGGACACAGCGGGCAGAGCCATCCAGATCACTGCAGCAGTGCTTGGAGAGTAATGAACACACCACATCACTCTTCAGCACCCCCAGTTCATTTGCGGGGAACGGGCTCAATTAGCATTTTAACTCCAGAGAGGTTTGTGGCTGGAGTGTCTGGGGGCTGTGTGTTGACCACCCTGATGATCCTCTCTGTGTACATTTGGAGTGAGATGCTGGAATGCTGAAGGCCAAGGATGCACATCTCTTCCCAGGGTGGCCTGCAGTGTTGTGAAAGGAAAGCACAGAGACAGATTGGTTTCTCTTTTCAGTAGTGTGCATGGCTTTCTGTGAATTTATTGGGACTGTTGCCTTATTAAGGCTCTTTACTGGAATATTTACGTAATATATTGTGAATAGATAACATTCCATTTAGAGAAATGAACTAGTGTCTTTTTCATAGATGATTAATTTGCAAAACTAATGTGCTGAAATGTCTGAGGATAGATAATGTATTCAACAGGTACCAAAACTTACTTTGGGAGTAATTTATTGGGAAAACGGTTTTGATCTTCTGAGCAGTTGTTTGGATATTGGGGAAAGAATCCTCAGTACCTTTAAGTGAGCCACGTGCACACTCAGAGTTTCAACCGTGGCATTATTCACATGTGGCTCTGAGCAATTTGGGTTCTACCTTGTCTCTGAAGAATGGCGTTTCCAGGCAGCCAAAGCAGAGTCTGGAATTGATAACATTCACTACCATGGCTGGTAAGAATATCTATAAAACTATCCCTCTGTATTCCAGCACGGAAACTGGACAACCGGGAGTGTTCATTCGAAGTGTGCCTCAGCCATTTGGAGCTCCAGGCATCCCTCAGGCTCTTTGGGCTCCATGGACAGCTGCAGATCCACGTGAGTGCTCTCTTGTGGGAACTTCCCAAGCTCTGTCTGCATCCCCGAACTGCCAGGATTGCCATTCCCCTCCTGCAGCTGGGGAGAGGGAGGGCTGAGCTGGAACACATCCCTGCCCAGGACTGCTCTGGAATGATTGACCTAAAACCGCTGCCCTCTCCTCCAAAACTCCTGCATTCCAGTGCTGGAATGTAGGTCTGCCCTCTCCTCAGAGCCACGGTGGTGCTAATTAGCTGCTTCAGCACATTAACGGCCCTGGTATATGTGTCAATACGCTCATCTAACGAGCTGCTCGTGTTAATTACGACCTCATTGAGCCAACCAGGGTTTGAAGGGTGGGAGATCCATTTCCCTTCGAGGCGTGGGGGCTCCTTCCCTCCCTGCCTGCCCTGCCTGGAGCCACGGTGACCTTGAGGGACTCTGTTAGAGCAAGGGCTGAGGAAATGGGGTCTGCACCAAGGGCTTTACTTCTGTGATAACAAGGGTTATCACACTCGGACTCCTGTGCCTGATCTGGCCTTTGCTGTTATATGGGGCCTGTGGACCACTGTTTCTGTGTGCTGGTCATAGTCCCAAAATAACTGTCCCTAAATTAGCCACTTCAGTTCCTGGGAGCAGTCTGGCTGTCACAGCAGAGCTTGATATAGGCCAAGTTGGATTTTTTTTTTTTTTTTTTGAGAAAATGTGCTCTTTTGAGGTTAATAATTATCTAATTACTCCGTTAATAATAGATACCTCTCAACATACTAATGGTGTAGCATATATTTTTCAGCAGGACGAGATCCTTTGGCAGGTGCAGGTCTTGGTCCAGCAATGATGCAGCAATAAATCAGCATCTATTCATGTGCTGCTGGTTGTATCACAGGGATGCCAACTACTAATTTACTCTGTTCCAGCTCTGCTTCCCCATTCCGGGTTTATTTGAGGGGTTTGTGTCCTGGTGGCTCTGACAACTTCACTGTGTTGCCTCTGTGCAGATGGAAGTGCAGTGGCCTACATTTCCCTGGGATCAGGGAGACAGCCTGACCCACTTGAAACACAGTAACCAGCCCTGCTTTCCCCACAGGCTGGTCCACCACTGGGACTGCTCTCATGCCGTGCCTCAAGCTGAAAATGCAGAATTTCTGGTCATTTTGGAGAATTTAATGCCGAGAATTTAAATGGTGCTTCACATTTTGTTTTCTTCCCCTTGTGCCTGGATGTGTCACGGTTCAGTGTAACGGGTCAGTCTGTGTTTCATTAAATATTAACAGGGAAAATGATTTGTGCTCGTTTAGAGGGTAACACTGCTGTGCTAATGGATGGAAAATTGCCTGGAAGGCTGCTGGGAAAGGTGTAGTGGCGACTGATCCTGAACCACTGAGCGTGGAGTTTCTAAACTGTCCTGCCACGGGGATGGGTGATGTGAAGAGGTGAAAAATCTGTGGGAAAACAAGAAGAAAGGTACTGTAAGGAGTATTCAGATCTGCCAAGGGATCCAATAGGCCTTTTCTGCCAAAGCCTGCCAGCCTGACCTTCATGCTGAGCCCAAAGCACTGCTCTGAGGCCACCTCAGCAGTGCTGCCCCTCAGCCAAACCTCTGACACGTGTGAGCCAGGCCAAGTATCCGACTCCTGGTGCCGGTTCCCCTTGTGGGAATGCTGTGGTCTCAGAGCCCCTGGAGCAGCCCAGGAGGAGCAGCTGTCCCTGGTGTTGATGTAGCCTGTGCTCTGGCCTTCCTTGGCCAGGTACAAGTGCTCCCTGCCAATGTGATCCTGTTGTGTTTTCCAGTTCCACTCGTGACTCCCGGAGCATCCGCAGGTCTCCCGGAGATGTTCCAGGAACCTCCTTTAGCCGCTGGTCCAGTGCCAGGGACTCTGCTAATGGACCCCTCCAAGGAAAGGTAAGACAATGTGCATCCGGTGTGATTAATGGCATGCAGGGAAGGGCAGGAGGACGTTTATCCCACAGCTTCCCACTGTCTGTGCACCGTGAAGATTTGTTGTCGGATGCTGTAGGTTTGCTGACAGTTCACGTGAAGGATCTGCTCTTTTGTACTGCTGGGATGTGCTCCCTCTGTGCTTTGAGTGTTGTAGCACCCAGGCTTCCTGTGGGCGTGATAAACAATAACCTAATCGTAAATCACATGAGCTGGCTTTCTAAAGAGGGTGTTTATGCTGTGGCTTCACCAAACCCAACTGTCTCTGCCTGTGAAAAAGCTGGAATGAGTAAGATAAGAACAGGGGTAATGCATAGCTCTTAGCATTAACTCTTGCCAGGCCGTGGCTCTTAGGATCTTGTACATGTGGTTGTACATCTCATAAATCAGTGACTTAGCATAAATAGGCTATAATATACATAAACAGACTCTGACAGGCTTCAAGAAGCCCCAAAATGCGGGATTTGATAGTGAGAAATGTTTTGAGCAAGGCAGGGTGTGCTGGCTGCCATGCCTGTCTATTTGAACAGATCATGCTAAGCAGGCTCCTGCGTGGCTGTGCTGAGCAGGAGCGTTGGGATGCACTCACAAATCTCCTGGCCTACAAAGGCAGCGGCTCAGCATCGTCTCCATGGCAACCCCGGAGCCAGAGATGAAATCTGATATGAATAGTCTGGGGGGAAGAGCCGTATGCGAGTCACACACTCCGAGCAGGCTGCTTGGGAACCCGGCAAAATAACATGCATTTGCTCTTACTTGTTGCTTCTCCCCGAGTGTTCCTGGCGTGCCCTGCTCCGTGAATAAAGCGGGCTGACAATCCAGCCATTATTCCAGGGCCCGCAGCCACTCGGAGCCAGGCCAAGGGCCAGCGCAGCGGCCGAGGAACGGGGTGGGGGGAGCTGTGCCAGCACTTGAGCTCATAAATGAACTCAGCCCACAGCTGCATCTCCGAGCTGCTTGTGTTGCCCTGCTTTATGTCAGCCCTGTTCCCCCTGGCAGCGCTCGGGGTGTGCACACACCAAACCAGGCAGGGGTCGGCAGAGCCTGAGGGAGCGGGAGCGCTCCTGGGCACTGCGGGGTCGTGTTCCCCAGGACGGCCAGGCACACAGAGAGCAAACTCGGTGCAAAGGGAGTGACCTCACCCAGGCTCTTCCTGCAGAATTCCTAGGAGACAGTAGGCTCTGCAAATCCCTTATCAAAACCAGACGTCAGAGGAGTAGCCAAGGCATAGCCCAGAATTCCTGTGGGAGGACACAAAAGTTCAGGCATTTCTCAGACAGTTGGCTGCCCTACTGGGGAGGAGCCCTCATGTCCTGCAGTGAAACACTTTTGGTGGATAGAGGGAGAGGGGGTTTACCCACTGCACATAAAACCAGGGACACACATCCCACCGACAGCAAGGGACACACAAAGCGCCTGCAGTGGCTCTGGGGCCGGTCCTTGCTCTGATTTCAATATCAATAACACCAACCAGGAGCTGACCTCGGTGAGGAGTTGGAGGAACACAATCCCCCTTTGACACCCCAACAGCTGCACCATCCTTTGATGTCCCCTCAAAACTACAGGTTTATCAGAACCTTCTTTAACGGTGAATTTTCACTGCCTCCCTCAATTCTTCCTCTACGATCCCGTAAGATGACTTTCAAATCTACAAACACTTCCAGGGCTGCTGCTTAGGAGCAGAAGCCGCTGTGATTCATGAGAAGGTGCTTGGTTTTTCGAAGCAATTACGCTCTTCCTTCCCTGGCTGTGCTGGTTGCTGGGTGTTGTCCATAAATGGGGTTTATTTCCCCCATCCCCTCGGATGCCGCGGAGCGAAGCGTAATTCCGTGTGTGCCGTGTGGTGTCAGCTGCTGATAAATGGGAGCCATTGTTGCTTCCGTAGGAAACAATGACAGCCAAGAGGGACAATTTGCTGCAGTCTACAGGAATGCAAAAATAATATGTCACTGCTCTCCACGGCTAATGAAGACAAACTCTGGAGCAGCCCTTCTGAGGGAGAAGAGAATGCCCTTCCCTAGGGTTTAAGTCTGCTTTTTTTCCTCACATTGCAGTACACTAAACAGGATAACAGTGAATTTACTCTGGGCTTTCCCTCTAGACTGAGAAAACAATTGTTCAAGAGGCTGGAGGACAAGTTTTATTGATATTTCTCCAGTATTTTCCCTTGTACTTTTCACTAGCGTTCCCAACAGATTTTCTCCTGCGTTCTTCTTTTTTAACTCAAAAAGAAAACACCCCCTATACAACGTGCTGTGATAATTCATTTTTTCTTGCACACTTTCTCTGGATGGATTTTTTTTTCCCCACATGAAGTGGCAGCAGCCCAGTGTTATATTAAATCAGATATTTATATAACACACACGGATCCCAACACTGCGCCATTGACTGCCCAGTTTTGCAAAGATCAGTTTTAGGACTTATTCCCAGTCCCTTATTCTGTAGGGCCCAGGACCTCTAGTCATCGTCTGTGCCTCCTTTGTGCCAAGTGCTTTCTGGTGGAACAGTTTTCCTCCCCAGGGTAGGTTTGACACAAGAGAACCGATCACAAACTGAGGTTCTTGGTCCTTGTGCATCCCCAGGGAGCTGCTCTGTTCCTTGAGCCTTGGAAATGGTCTTGGTGGGTTGTTCCCAGGCAGCAAATTTCTGTTCCAAAGGAAGCTGCAAGGGTGGAATTCTGTAAGAGAGCTTTAGCAGGAGGCTCCTAAACCTTTTGTCAGATTTTGACATGAGTGTGGGCTATTATTAGGAGATAAGTGCAATATGGGAAAGATGGCTCTTATTTTATCTCTCTTTTTTTTTTTTTTTCTTTAATCAGAGGTTTTATGAGCCTGAGACTAAAAAAAAACATGATAAGGTCTTTGAAATGTGCTGACATTTTAGGGCTTTTGATGGTGGATACTAAACCCGGGAGTTCCCAATGTTGCTGCCCAGAATGGGCACTTGAGTCTTCAGAGTGTTTGCTGACTTTTTGTGACATTTGGAGGCATTGTTGGGAGCTCAGGCATGGGGAATTTCCTCGGGAGCTGTGCTATCCAATGGGTCTGGCTCGTTGGTCTGCGAGCTATAAAACTCTACAAGGCGAGAACAGGAGAAAAGCACTTGTTCCATCCCCACAGCCACCCACACAGGCACAGCCAGGAGCTGCAAACTGGACAGGCTCTTGCTGCTCAATGAGGTGTCTGTGTTTTGTAAATACAAACACAAGAGGAGCTTCAGGGAGCATAGATTTATATTTTTTTTCTACCCTTAGAGAGATGGCAGTGGGTAAGGATCAGTTAGACACGTGTGTGTGTGTGTGTGTGTGTGTTGTTCAGAGCTCAGCCATGGAATTCCTTTAGGAGCTGTGCTCAGTGTCTGGGTGGCTGCTCTGTCCCTTTGGGACGGGAGTTTCCAATCTCTTTGCAAACTGGCACAGGCAGAGTTGTGTGAGAAGATGCCACAGTGTCCAGGAAACCCCAGTCTGGATGAGCTGAGGGTAGTTCATGATTCAAGACTTGCATTTGTGCTGTGGAATGAGGGCAGCCAGTGGTTAACCAGGTTATCGTCCCTATAGCACTGATTGAACAGGACTTGTGAGGTTTGATCTCTCTGGGTGGGCTGGGGGATTTTTGAGACCACTTACACTTAATCAAGTTATAATTGCAATACACGAGTCTGTCACTGCTCAGCCTAAACCTCGTGTTGCGCTCAGCTGACAACACGCTTTAAAATCCAAATAACCTGTGAGGTGGCACCAAATCTTTCCCAATCAAGCCCCAGTTGGAGGGTGGGGCTGAAGTGAATGAAAGTGCTGCCAGCAGCAGTTGGGTGCAGCCCTGTGCCGGTGCTTTGTGCTCCAATTGTCTCAGGGCCGTGGCTTTCACCCCCTGCCAGTTAATGGAAGTGCAGAGTCAGTGGTTCCAGCCTAACAAAGGCAGTGGAGCCCCAGCTGAACACACTGTTTCCCCTGGGCAGTAAGTGATGGGAGCAGGACAAAACTGCAGCCTTTGGAAAAGGCCCCGGCCCTGGCGCTGCGTCTCGTTGGCACGGATCAGCAGGGATTAGGCTGTGGCCCATGGAAGTTCCTACTAGAACTCCTCTATGAATACAACTGCTGTCACTGCACAGGGGAGGGGAAGTGGTTTGTGCAACCACAGAGTGTCTGTGAAACGCTGTGGTTTGAACCGGGGTGAAAGTGGGGAGCATCTGATGTGAAGTGAGCAAACACCAAACCTAATGGCTGAAATGTTACTCTAGGAAATCACTGCTGAGTGAGTGCTCGTGTCCTGATTGCTGTTCTGGCCAAGAGTCTGCTTAAATGTAACAGCAACTAAAGACAGAGATTTTCTGAGAGCTCTATGGATGGTCTACAACCCCTTCATAACACAGCTCAGTGCAGTTGTGCCTGTGGCCTTGCCTCTGCCTCCAATCCCCCTCGACTTGTCCTCAAAAATGACGTTTTTCAATGTGAAACCTATTTGCCAGTACTTGAGAGGAGGTGTGAGAGCAATGGGATCATAAAAAAAATACTGATCTTAGTTTGTTTTGTTTTTAGTGACTCAGAAGAACACGTAGAAGCCAAGAAGCAGTTGAGAAGGCGTGTGGGGAAGGTGAGCATCGCACACAGGTCTGGCACTGATCTCCTCAGCCTCCTTTCCCTGCTCCTTCCTGCCTGGACCAGACTGCCTGGGAACACCCCTGGACAGTGCAACGTCTCTGAAGGTGGTATGTGCAACTTATACACTGGGCTCTGATCTTATTCCTGTGCAGAGAATGATACAGAGGAAGCACCAAAACACTTATTCACTGCAAATGTCAGTTAAAAACGTTAATAAAATGGCAAGGTAGAACGTGGGCAGTGAGCACGTTCATCCTGCTGCTGAGCATCCAAATCAATTTTAAAAAGAATCGAAATAATTCCAGCCATGCAAAATCACAGAAAAATAACCCTGTTTAAATAATTAATAGTGAATGCTTTTACAATGCTTTTTTGCATAGTTGGGGTGCTTTGCTGAGCTATAAACTATTTTCATTGAGCAATTGCTGCTCCTGTCACTGAAATGGGTCAATACACTGTGGATTTACACAATTTACATTAACCTTACATATAAACAGTGCAAAGACAAGGTATCCTGACAGTATCACCACGGCCTGTGTCTCCAGGCAGAGAGATTTCTCAGGCCATTTGGAAGCAAATTGTTCTGGAAGCTTTGGTTCTCCATATCAGAAACAGAGGAAAGAATCTGCTAGAACAGAATACTGGGCTTTGGGCATTCAGCTGGGCCTTGGGAGAGCTGTGTTTGATCCCTGGCTCTGAGCTCCCCACCCACAGGGTGACAGGGAGCCAGGCAATTTTTGTGAGCATCAGCAAGGATGGTGATTTCCTACTTTGCAGGAATCCTGGATCGGAGGAGCCAAGGCACCGTGATAACTGTGGCAACGCTGGGGCCAGCCATGCCAAGCTTTATTTAGCTGTGCTGCAGATCTGCTGCTGTGGTACATGTTAAGCAGAGCCAAAATCCAGAGCTCAGGAGGAGCCTGTGAGCGTTGGAGCACTCTGTGAGACGGTGCCTGCTGATCTCCTTGGTGACAGGAGCTCGTGTCACTAATTGGTCCCCGAGTCTGCAGCGCAGGGATGACGCGGGGAGGCTGGAGTTCAGGAGCAGGCTGGAGTTTGGCAATTGCAGCTCCAGGGATTTCATGAAGAATTCTGTGAGAACAGGCAGTTGGGTGTGTACAGAGGGTTTAATGAAGGTCTAGTGCAGATCCCTGGGTTTGTTCACACAGACCTGTTGTCTACTGAGTTACTCTGCAGAGGAGCCTCAGGCAGCAGAGTTAATGTAAGAGCCATATTTGGTAAATTATCTTTTCTGCGCCCAAATCATTGGTACAAAACAGATCTTTTGGTGAAGGTTTGTGTTCAGCTCAGGCACACGTGCCTGCAACTTGACATGCTGGAGAATCCATCCTCGGAGGAGGTGTTTGCCATACATCCCACGAGTGGCTTTGCTGCTTTCTTGGTAGCAAGTTAAAATCATGAGTCAGCTAATTGAGCTCGAAAAGCAGTTTAATCCTATTACAGCACATAAGGCACCGTCTTTTTTGCTGTTCTTTGAGTGGTGCTGGTTCATGCACTGTTCCCAGACATCAAGAAACACGTCTGTAAGCAGTCTGTCTCCTCTGAAATAGTGTGGATCCACAGCAGAGCAACAAGTATGACGTGCTGCAGTGCTGTCACTGGGACTGCCAATCCACCTCAGCTGTGCCTGCTTCATCACCGTTGGTACAGGCCCATGGTGCAACTGGGGATGGTTTGCCAAAATGTTTGGGTGTCATTTGTCCCTCACACACTTCACTTGCAGCAAACACCTGGAGTGGAAGCAGCAGGTACCAACAAACCAGTGCATCGTGTTCTCTGTGTGAGACAATGCGTTCAGAAAGGGAACAGCAGCCCCTCGCTTCAAAAAGGAAATGTGTAAGGGTCAGGTTTGGCTAATGAAGCATTGTTAATAACAATGAAGCAGCTGGCCTATCCAAAAAGTGCTTGGGCATGGAGAATTCTTGGAGTGGGAAGCCTGTAGGGCTGTGGCACAGGGCTCTGCTGTTGCCTCTGGAAAAACAAGTTTGTGAGTTCATTATTCCGTGGCAGAACTCTCCCTAGCACCTGGGACTGCTCCATGCTTGCAGTGGGAATTCTGAGGTTGGCTGCTTTCCAGTGCTCCTGCTCTCCTGTTCGGAGTGACCTTCCAAGGAGGAACAGGCCAAGCTGGATTGTTCTGTGGACAAAGGCCTGTTCCCCTGCTGTGGGACTCCGTGTGCTGCAGGATGATCAGCCACTTCACTGACCTCACTTCTCCGCCTTCCTGAGGGCTTTAAAGCATAACCCAACAACAGGGACAGCACAGTCCTGCTGTTTTAATCACCACCCCGTTCCCTAGTACTCTGCTGAAGCAGGGGCATGCAGGTAATGGATATTTTATTCCAGCAGTTTGTGTGTATTGAGCAATATATTTCCCTACTTATGTGTCAGAGCCTGAAAGGACGATCCATTTTTAATGAGCCACACCAGGCATGGCTGATGTGGAACCTTAATTTTAGACACACATTTGGGGTTCGTGCATCAGGGGACACTGAATGGCCATGGTGAGTTGGGATGACATGAGGAGTGTGTTGTTCTGTGGTGGCTGGAAAACCCAGGCACAGGTAGAGGTGCTCCTGCTGCTGCCTGAGTCCCAGCCCGTGGATATTGCCGAGCAGGAGCTGGTACATACATAATGTAACAGCCTGTTCCAGCTGACCCATTCTGGAGCCTCTGAAAGGCTCAGTTCCCTGCAGGCAGGGACTAAAAATAAGTCATCTGAAAGGGGTACTAGCTCAGCTAATTAGCAGAGGAGCAGAGCACTCACTGCTGCACTGAGAAGTGTGCCTGGTTTGCTCCAGCCCGGCTGGGGGTGCCTGGATCGGGAGGATCCTGCCCCGAGTGAGCTCCACAGTGCAGCTGCTGGGGTGAAATGAGGAGCTCTCTGCTTGGGATCCAACCTCTCCGGCCAAATCCACAGTCCTTGATGTTCTGGTGGTGCAAAGCTTGTGTGAGCCTGGCCTGGGGTCCCAAGGAGTGATTCCCTTTCACTGAGGTCAGGGATCCAAGTCCTGACCTGCCTGTGTGGTGATTGAAGTCTGCTGTAGTGCATCCCACAATGTTCTGGGGTACAAATATGAGAGGGCAAACTCAGTCAAGCCAGACAGAGACAGAAATTCAGTAAGAGGAGCTTTTCCCAGCTTCTTTTGTTGTTGCATCCCACTTCTTTATCTGTTCTACTCACTGCAAAGCCACAGTTCCCTTTCCATGCTCTGCCCTGTTAATTTGGGGTGCTGTGTAGCCTTTGTTGTTGTTGTTGTTGTTTCTCCTAATTCTGTTTGGTTTTATTTTTTTATTATTGTTTTTCAGCAGCCAAGGAGAAACTGTCAAGTACTACATTTATGCTGATTGCAAGTGGCAGAGCAATACCACCAAGGCCTTTGTGCCCCAGGAAATCACTGGGGCCCTTTATGGCTGCTGACTCTATTCATCTAGAAGCACCTTTTTGGAATGTTCTCCTTCCCCTGCCAGTTGTTTATTCATGCATCAACAATGAGGAGCAACTGAAGGTGAGCTTACTCTAGCACTTGTAATCTATTAAAATTAAAGAGCTGTGCTTCCAAGAATTGCACTCTCCTTCCCCAAACAGCAAAAGAAAGGACAGACCAGAGCAGAGTGTACCAGGAGATAGGATATGAACCTCCTTCAAGTCCCATAATTAAATACAGAGATTCACAAGATCAAAGGGCACCTGGGTAGATGAAAAGAAAAGCCTACATGGAATGGATCCATCTCCTGAGCAGCTTCCCATGGATTAGAATGATGTGAAGCTTTATCAATCAAAGCCAAGATGAATGGCTGGGGTTTGAATGTGTTTGGGCAGAGTGCACTTCTGGCTGGAGTTGAACATAAGAACTGTGGGACTGACAGCAGTGAAACGGGGTGGGAGCTGTCCTACACCTGGCTCTCAGAGTCAGGGAGAGTCTTTCCATCAGCAGTAGGTGACACTGGGGGGAAGTTGTGTCCCCAGGATGTGTCTGAGCCAGGCTGGAGAACCACAGGGAGTGAACACCCTGGGTGCACGGGCAGGGACAGGCAGTGGGGAATCGGGAACTTTCAGCAGCGCTGAAACAAGTCCAAGCGCAGGAAAGGGCAGTGAATTCCTGATTCCTGGGAGCATTGGAGCACGGACAAACCTACACCTGGAACAGGTGGGAGTGACTCACAGGGCTTCAGTGGGAGCTGAGGCTGTTGGGCCTCGTGCAGGGGCTGGGCCAGTTTAGCAGGAATTCTTTTGGGGGGCACCAGTGAGAGCACCTCTGCTTGCCCAGGGAGTGTTTTCCAGTGCAAGAAGGCTCTTGCTCCTGTTCTTGAGATTTCCCACAATGCCAGCTGGGTTCAAGGCACTTCAGCATCCCTCAGAACAGCCCTTGAGCTTCAAGGAGAGAAGGATCTGAGGCCAATAAGCAGAGTTTAGAGGAACAGCACATACTTGACTTTGTTATCGTAAATTATCCCACACCCTTCCTGCCACACAAGTTGCCATCCCGGTGCATCTGCAGGGTAAACACGTGTCCATAATAATTGAGTGCTTATGCCCTGCTTTGTTAAGCCCTGCTCTAGTTCAGAAGTCACCAGGGGTAAGTAACCCTCCCGGAGCCAAGCAAGGTGATTGTACCTCATTTACATTTCAATGTCTGCACTGCTCTTCCAGTTCCCAGCTCCTTTATGGAATGGTGATGGTATCTGGGGACTGGGAACAAGAGGGACCTGAAGGCCTGTGTCTGTTTACTGAGCAATTTCCGTGGCAATTAAAAAATCACATGGCTTTGAATTTATGTGGGACCCTTGAAAACCTTCTCCTCAGAGGTGTAAGCACTTCCAGCCTTGCTGCCTTGCCCTGTTCCCTACTTCCATGCACACTTTATCCCTGGGAGTGTAGGAAAACGTGTGTGTGCAGTGTCCTGGTGGTCCAGCCTCTGGTGCCACCCTGAAGGATCTGGCTTGGCCGTGGTATGAGTGATCTGGCAGGTCTGTGCTGAATCTCTGAACAATATCAGAATATAATTGATACATAGAATAGCAGCTAGCAATGAGAACAGATTGCCATGCAAGGAGCAGGAATGTTAAGGTTGGCAGAACTTTATGGAACTGAGATGACAAATTGATTACTAGGGCTTGCTGCTAACTTACAGCAAATTAATCTTCAACACTTGGCTAGGCCTTTGCTGGTCTCAGAGGAGCTGGATATCCATCCTAACATCCATAACCCTCAAAGCCCATGGACCGGTGTTGCTGGTTGGGATGAGGGAGGGGTCACTTGGTCCCTGGGAATGCTGCAGAGCCTCCCTCTGAACTCAGAGCACAAACCCTGCAGACACTGAACAGGCACATTTCGATGTGATGACAGGACATCTTATTGCAATTACTTTGGAGGGACTAAGAGGGATTTGGGAGGCTCCAAACAGTCAGGAAAAGGACGGAGAAAATTGGGTGTGGAGATCTCTCACGCATTTCCTCAGTGTTTGGTGCGTGACCGTGACTGTGATTTATTGTGCCTGAACTGCAGTGGGAGGTGGAGGATCCCAGAGCTTTGGGTTCCAGGTCAGTCACAGGTAGATCCAGATCCACAGGGGGCATTCACATTGGGTGAGCCCCCTTTGTTCCACCTTTTATTTAGGATCCCGAGGCCTGCTCTCAATTCCTAGGCCATTTTTCACCGACTCTGCTGTTTCTTACCAAGCCATAGGTTTTTGGTTTTTTTGCTCTGCAGGTGGGTTAAATATCATTTACACTAATTTCTTTCTCTCATGGCTGTTAGAATAACTTGGCCTCCTCCATTAGACAATGCTTGGGTATTAATTGCAGGGTGATTAGTTTGCTCAGAAGCGTTCCTTGTTTGCACAGCTGAGCTGTGCATCTCAGGAGATGGTAAATAAATGCTAGCAAATATCAGAGATGGACTTCCAGGCATAGCAATCCATGTACATTGGTTCTCTCTGGAAAAGGGAGGGCAGGACAGTTGGTTTTGGTTAAGGAAAATTCTTTCTAGCACCACTGGAGGTGGGCAAAGGAGCAGTTTGGGGTGAGAGCCACAGGGCTGGCTTTGAGCAGGGTAAAAATACCCAAAGGAGCTTGATGTGGCCGAGCATTTCCTGAACAGAGCTGCAGGAGAGGGGAGCATCTGGTGGGATTAATTGCCTGTGATGTTCTGGAGGTGATGGCTGAGTGGGAATGGCTGCAGCAGAGCCGAGATGAGAAGGGTGGGAACAGGTTTGGTTTTCCCCAAAAACTAACTGGTAGAGCATCTCAAAACTGCTCAGAGGAAAACCCACGTGCAGAGATTGTCTTGAGACACCGACATCTCCCAAAAGCTTCAGTTGCTGAGAAAACATATTATGGAAAGTGTAGGTGTCTGTGCCAAGAACTGACACAGACACAGTGTCTGAGGCTCCCAATTCCCCTTTTCCAGTAGCTTGTGAGTGTCAGATTTGAACTCTGCAGATGAAGCATCTTGCCCTCGGTGTCAGACTCAGGTTGAACTTGGGTTAACTTTGAACAAAGGCACTTCAGCTCTTCCTCACAACCGAGTGTGTCCCACATTATATGACATTTTTTATAGATTGGTTAAACTTTATTGACTCGCTGTTCAGGAAGGCAGTTACCACAGATGTGTGATTTGTCATTCTGTGAAAGTATCCCGAATTTAGACACTGTAAAACCTCAGTAACACCACCACCTACCAGGGAGAGGCTTGTTAGAGTTCGTCTGTGGGCACAGAGCACGTTCTGGCATGGAAATCCTTCCTCCAATTCCTGCTCCAGGGACAAAATCTGGGAGGTATAAAGTGCAGGGAAGCACCATTTCCTGCCCTCTCACTGCTCCCTGGTGAGGGAGGGAAAAAGAGAGGGCTGAGTAAGCTTAGCTGGGATGGAAGGAAGGAGGGAAGGGGACAGCACTTTTAGGGATGTATGAGTGCAGGGTGAGGTCTGGTAGAGTGGAATTTGGTAGGTCAGCATGGCTGAAACAGGTTTCATGAAGCCTGAGCGTGACCAGATAAACAGGGAGAGAATTGAAGCCGAGTGATGAGGATGAGTGGTGAGGGTTAGGGAGCACCAGGAAAAACAAACCAACCTAAACACCAGCAAAGAGATGAGAAATGCAGAGTTAAAAGCAGAAAGGAAAGGTGGGGAGAAAACACAGTACCTACTTGTTGCTGTTAGGGATCACTTTTCCTGGAGGCAGACAGGAGGCTGGGGCCCACTGGGAAAAATAGTGTGTAATAGTTCATCACACTGAAATTGTGCAATCCATGGAGGGGGGAGAGGGCTGAAAACTTCCATCAGAGGAGCAGTTTGGTGTTTTGTATTTGTTCTGAGGGGGTTTTGTGTTTTCAGTGAGGAGGGTAAGTAATCACTGCAGCAGTGTAAGAGGCTGCATAATGAGTGAATATTAATTCTCCTCCTCTTGGAGCCCCCAAGTCTCTGAGGAAGACAAACCTAAACCAAGATGTAATCCAGTTTACCCAGAATTTATTGCTGGTGAAAGAAATGAGGGATGTTGTGGCGTATGTAAGAGGGGAGGGAATTCAGGCAATTATTCCTAGTTAGGGAGTCTCTGTTCCTTCGATTCTGGCATTTCTACCTCTGCTGTGCTTGGCCACCTCTTCAGTGCTGTTCCTTGTGGAGTCAGGTCAGCTGCAGACAGGAGCAGAAGAGCTGTCCCTGCCTTGGTGGCAGCTCACTCAGGTGTGTTGGCTCCTGTCTGCGGTGCCAGCCTGGCCTGGCAGTGTGGGCAGCACCGGAAAAGCCAGAGGAGGGATCATCCAGGGAGGGCCCAGATCTCCCCTGGAGTTCCAAGGTTGACAGGGGCCAGATGATTCTAGAAAATGCTTTTGGCTCTGTGCCTGCTTGGTCCCATTTCCAGCCTTCCCTGCTGAAGGGAAGCTGGTCCTGTTTTCCAGGCAGATGCTTGTCTGTGGGGACAGGGAAGTTCTCCTGCAGCAGTGAGTGATGTGATGCAGGAACAGGGGGCAGAATACGAAAGGCTGGTGGAAGAGAAGGAAATCTCATTTTTCTGCCAAACTTGATGCCTTGAAGTATGCCTGGATCAATGAAATAATTTGGGAAAGCACTGGAAAACCTGTGGGGGGAGTGCTGGCCTGCAGGCTCTGAGCGGTGGCACAGATGACACGGGGATCTTGTCTGGGGCCTCAGCATAAAACCCAGAGCCTGCTGGCGTTCTGGGAAGGGGTGGGAAGTCCCAGGCTGTGTCTTGGGTGGAGACCTGTTGGCTCTGAGGAGTGGGAAGCAGTCCAGGGGGCTGGGGCCAGCTCCATGGCCTCTGCTATCTCCTGGCACGGAGCTCCCTCCTCCCGGCTCCCGCAGCCAGCGCGGCTCCCTTGCCGCACCCGGGACAAACAGGGGGGTTTGCCTGCAAAATCCAGCCAAAGCTGGCTGGGATTTCAAGAGATCTCTGCTGGACTTAGAGGAAAAGATGTCCTGATTTCTGCAGAAGCCGGGGGGAAGTTCTGCTGAGCCCCTTGGCTGGTGCAGAACTGCTCCGAAGCAACGCCAGTGAAAATCTGGGGGGTGCCAACACAGTCTGGAAACCCCACTGTGCTGCTTCAGCATGGGCCACCATTTGGGCTGGATTTTTGGCTAAACCTTTAGAATTGGGAGAGCTGAAGAGGTGCAGAGAGAGGGAAGGGAGGGCTGTGACTGAAGGGCTGTCAGAAGAAGGATTTAACACAGGTCTGGGTGTGCCCTGGGAGAAGCAGCCCTCTGGGATCCTTTCCACTCCCATTTCTCTCAGAGTTCAAGGCACTGGAAAGGCAGACTCTCTTTTGATTTTTGTCCCTGACAGTTTTCTGAGGAGATACACAGTGAAACTGTGCTGAGACATGGCAGGCTGTCACCTGGGAGCACCTCTCTCCCTTTCAGCTCTTCTGGATTCCAGATAATTCCATTTCTGTGCACACACGAGAGAGATTTTGTCCAAGAAACTGGCTGAGGCTCCCAAATCCAGCCAGGACTGTGAATGAATATTTACAGCTCTTGGAGGGTTCTCCCCGTGACAGTGCATTCAAAGCACACAAACATTTTGCGGAACACATAAAAAATTGTCTTAAAATCACTTTTTCATGCCACAAAAATCTCACTCCTTTTAAGTTCAGGCAAGGTGTTAATATCCTTGGCTGACTGGAAACCTCTCAAATACCTTTGACATCTCTCTTGGCTGTGCGTCCTGCTGGATCTGCCAGGCATTCTTTCGATGTCAAGGCCTGGATTTATATGCTGGAAAGCACAGGATATTTTGAGGGCACGGAGTTAACCAGGTTTGCACAAAATGTCCCGGTTACGTAAAAGTCATATTTGAAAACGAAATCGATGCCTTATGGAAAACCCTAAGGATGGAAGCAGGGAGAGAAGCAGATACAAGCCCAGGCCTGGCTTTGCAGGAGTCTCCACCCTCCTGTGCTTTGACCACGACCCAGGAGGTTCACGGGCGCCATCGCAGCCCTCACAGTGCCAAATCCCCAAATTACATCCTCCTGGAGAGGAGGGGGATTTGGATCCTGTGAGACTGAAGAAAAAAAGAAAGGCAGGTGAATTTCTATATTTGCCTTTCAGGGGTCTTGGATGCATTTTTAAAGCTAAAAAAAGACAATAAACTTTATTTTTTCTTTGCTGGGTAGAACAGCACAGCCTGTCAAGAGATCTGAGCTCTAAAACATTCTTTTTCTTCTGATTTATCGTTTGACTCCGGGAGCAGGGATTTCAGAAAAAAAGTCAAGTGTCTTAAAATCCCTTATAAAACGTGAGTATGTGTATAAGGAAGGAAGAAATTGAGACTTTTAATTTTTCTTTTTTTTAAATTTTACATTAAAAAATAATTGTTTCTGTTTGTTTGCTATTTGCCATCAGATCTCAGCCTTTTTGGCCCTGTTTCAGACACAGAGAAAATGTGAATACCTTAAAAGATGGAAGCTTGTGGTGGGGCCCCAGAGGTTCTGAAGTACAGGGGTTTTACCTGTTGTCATTATGTGCACAAATCAAGTATATTTGTGATACCTTTATCATAGCTTAGTTAGTGGAGAGTAAGATATTTCCAAACAACTGCCCTGGAATGGGAACTGAGGTTATTCTTGGTTTTCCTGAACTGCTCTGATTGGAACCTTTGATGAACTTTTAAAAAATATATTGAATATGCCTTTACAGGAGCAGATATGGATTATTGCTAAGTACATTCCATAATGGAAAGTCTCCATTTTTAGATGGGTGTGGATCCACCTGGAACATGTCTTTGTTTATTTGTAGGATTGTTTCCTGCTTTTCCTTATCACAAACTTCCAGCTGGGAGTTAAGGAGGCACCTGTGACGTCACCCAGACTGAGGGATGAGAGGAGACCTTTGTGTCCATGCTTGGAAGGAGCTGGAAAACCATCCAGAGGTATGTGGACTTCAGCTTCCCTCCTTCAGCTCTTAGTTCAGCTCCACTGAAACACGGGGGATAAGAGCAACAACAGCCCTGGACAATTTCACAGGGATTTTTAGCCTGGTTTCACATGGAATTACACATCTGGGTCTTTGCTTCCCCAGTTTGGAGCTGCTGACTGAAGTCAACACTTGCACTTTTAACAATAATGAAGTTCTTACCAATTTCCTGAAAAGAGGAGTTCAGGGAGTTCAGAGCTGGATTTGCACATTTTCCCTTTTGCCCCTGGTAAATCTTTGGATCCTTTACCCATTCCTCCTGCCTAAGTTCTCTGAGGGGTTTTTGCTGAGGATTTAGGAATCATAAATGGCACAGAATTCAGCGTTCTGCTTGAAGAGGAAAGTAAGTCTTTATTTGCATTGACCTATCAACAGGTGACTTGAGTGTCAAAGGTGAAGTGACTGAAGTGTCTGTACATTGTTTTTTAGGACTAGAAGGAACCTCCATGATTGTTTAGTATTTCCATGGCACAGGTCATCAAAGCTCAGGGAGGAATTCCTTCATCTAGCTGGAATTTCCTCCTGAAGCCACGGGATCACTTTCACAAATATGTTTTATTGTGGTATTTGCTAGAATTCATGTGCTCTCAGTGCATCCCAAAGGGAATGGTCCTGATAGTTCATTACTCACAGGGGTGAAAAAACTTGCACTTTATTTGTGTTGAATTTCTCCACCATCACCTTCAGCAGGTGGATCTGGTACTTTCCTGATGGATTTGAGCCCGAAGTGTGTTCAGCACATGCAGAACTGGCTTGGCCTCTGCTTGAGAAATTGGAATTCATGCCTTGATTTGATAAATGACATACTGGAGCTAAACTAGTTTTGTACTTCTGTCTCATCCTTTCCCTGTATTAAGCTCCTTTTTGTGTCTCAAGAGTAGCCCTCAGAAGCAGGTGCAGCAATCACAGCAACAACAAAAGTAGTGTCATCCTTTTCTCCTGTAAAACAAAGGGGAGCAGGAGAGGGAGTTGACCCAGATTCCTCCCTTGTCACAGTGTCAAAGTCACTTAGGAAGATTTCTGAACGTGTCAAATTTTACATTCCTCTTCTTCTACCTAAATCTGTAAGGGAAACAGTGATAAAATACATTTCAGTGATCTTTCTGTTAGTTGGGCTTCTGGAGATAAAGCATTCCAGTCTCTCCTAAGGCAGAAATCAGCCTGGGTATGATTCCCAGGGCTGATGGAGTGACCCTGCCCTTGGCACCCTCCAAGCTGCTGTCCCTGGGTGCTCCCAGCTCCGTGGGAACACTCTGCAGGGGGCAGTTTACCCATGTGCATTCATCTGGACCAGGGAATTTTAAAAAAGTTGCCATTCTTTAAGCATGGATCTGAACCTGGATCTTTTTTTCCCATCTAGGATGAGAGCTCCAAGCCATGTACCCAATTACAAGTTGATTAAACAATGAGTCTGGGTTATCTCAGCTGTCCCAGAGTTAGAGCTTCCCTGAGAACACCCCCTGGTCCTACAGGACACACAGCAAGTGTAGCAGGGTCACTTGGTTCATGATCTGAAGGACCATGATAACAGAGCATGTCTGGGCTTTTGATCCATCAGGGAGGAAGATTATTTTTTTTTAAATACATTTTTCCCCTCAATGCTTCATTAACGTGCCTTATTCTGGCTCTTGGGATTCACTCTAAAATGAAACAAAAAGTCACCAAAAAAAAAAAATCTGCATTTTCACGCCATATTCCTCTGCAGTTACAATTAACCCTTGTTTTCCTTTCCTGTTGTGCACTATAAACATAGAACTTGCATTCCAAGTGGAAAGTGCACCCTGAATTCTTCCACCTGAATTGGAAGGATGTGGATGACTTTCTCTGTTCTCACCGTGGAGCTGATCCAAAGCTCAAGGAAGGAAACTTCCAGCAGGCGTTGGCCTGTGTGTCACAGACACTTGAATGACTTTCTGCCCACGGTGGGAAAACAGAATTTTCCATTCTCTTATTTTCCTTTCTGAAAGGACATGCAGTATGTACTGGGGCATTTTTTAAATTATTTATACAACTGTATCCTGACAAGCTACAACTTCCTCCCGTGTAAACACAGCTCCTGTTTGTTTCTGGAGTGGGGAGCTGTGTTTATAAGGTTGGGGAGGGGCCACAATTACTGTGGGCTGTGCTTTTCCAGAAATCCCCCCCTTTATTTTCTCTACAAACTTTGGGACCTTCTCCTTCTGTGGGTTTCAGATCCTTGTACCACAAAATATGTTTAATGTAACCCATGGCTTTGTTTTTGTTCAACATTGCACCCAATTCCTGCATCCTCAAATGTCCCAAGGAAGGCCCAAACGTTGTGACTTCAATATGGATTTTGAATAACTGTAGATGTTTTTTCAGTGAGCTCCAGGGGAAAGTTGCAATCACAAATCTTTACCGGTGTATTTCAACTTGAAATTCCAGCACCAGACTCTTTTTGTCCCGTGTTAAAGGCAATTTTTCCATTCTAGGCTTCCATTTCCTAAAGGCGATGAAAGCATTGAGGTGTAAAGGAACCTCGAATGTGGATGCAGGGGGAAAAAAGTCAAATTCTGGTCTGTCAGGTGCTTAAAAATGTTCATCTCTTGGCTGAGAAAATCACTGTGCTGTCCCCTGTGTTTGTTCTGTTTTCCACAGACAGCACAAAGGCCCCAAAAGTACTTGGGGATAGGGAAAACCAGCAACCTGTGACCGTACAGGGTCTATTCCCATCAGCTGCCCCACTTCTCAAACTTTCCTGAGAGTCATTTTGGTATTTTCTTCTCCCAGATACCAGCCTTTTGTATGAAACTGGATTGCCTGCAAATTCAGGAACCCTCTGGATGTTTTTTCGTGAAATCTCAACCTCAGTTTTGCCTCAGAGGATCCTGTGTGGGTTTGGAGCTGCTGCTTCCCTGGGACCAGAGCAGACATGGATTTCCAGGTGAGTAAGAATAAGTGTGCTGGGTGGGTCCTTGGGGAAAGATCAGCTTGTTTGGCTCTGTAAAAATCACATTTTTCCTCATGAAAATAACCTGGATAAGAAGTCATAACCTCTGAAGTTGAGGTGACTACTCAGTTAACTGGAAATAAAGCTCCAGGAGACAGGATTCCTGGAGAGGAAGGATGCAAGAGGCATCACCTGCTGTGCAAGTTTTGCTCTGGTTTTTCTGACTTTGTTTTTGCTCCTAGAGGGAGAGTGGATTAAACAATAGCCCTCCAACTTGTTCTAGGCTTTGGGAATAACATCCACCCTGGAAGACAGGAATTTAAAGCATTGTGACCTCTGGCTAGTTGTAATAAAGATAAAAGTTGAGAGTAAGAGCCCAAGAAACTATCCCACAATTAAGATTTAATTCTGCAATTCAACATTCCCCCTCAGCCATCCACTGATTCTGCTTTGTGATGGAGTATCTGACAGATGGCCGGGATCCTCTGGGCATGGATAAACTGTTATTATCAGAATATTAGCAGGCTTTTAAACCTTCCTCCTGCCTTAGCTGGTGTTGCTAATGAGGCACCAATCTTCCCTCCGGGGTTTGGTACCTTTACAAGTGGGTTTTCAAGGAAGCAGGGGAAGTGTTGAAGTAAATGTTGTAGGTACAGCCTGTCAGGAGGAAGATTTCCCTTCATATCCATTCTGCAAAAGGCTAAATAGTGCTCCTGGTTCTTTTCCCCTTGTGTAAACAAGGTGTTTGGACCTTGATTTCGAGAATTTAGGAATAAGCTTCGAAAAGCTTTTAAAATTACCCCAGAAGTAGAGGGGAGAGGATGTTCTGCAGAGGACTGCTGCTCCAGAACAAGGAGCAGGAAGGTATGAAATACCAGATGCACTGCTTTGGGTTTCATGCAAGGCACTATTTATAGGGTGATCAGTGAAACTGCTCCAGACTGCACTTATAAATAGATGAGCCCACGTTTCCCTCCTGTGCCAGAACTCTCCCAACTGCAGTTCCATGATTCTCTTATTGTTTTGCTGAACGTTGCTGGTGGTTTGTGGACCCGTGGCTGGGCAGGGGTGGGTGGGGGCTGATAAAATTGTATTTATCAATAGATTCCCCTTCCTAGTTGGCAGATGCTGCATGGACAGTGTATCCAGCCCCACTCTGGGAGTGGTGAGGGAATGTGGGGTCTGTTGCCTGTGCACAGACGAGACTGATGACACTTGAAACGAGACCTGGGGTTTCTAAGACACTCCAGGACTTTTGCCTGCAGTTTGAAAGCCAGGTTTTATGAAAGGATGACTTGCTGTGTGTGGAGCTCTGAGGAAATCCTGCAGGCCATGCCTTAAGCCCTTAAAATCTGCTCTGCTTGGCTGCTTTTGACTCTTTTTGTTTGTTTGTTTTTTCCTTTGGCCAGATCCTTTCTAACACAGAATTATGGCCCTGGGAGCTCTTTGCCCACCAGACACTGAGAGAGTGACACCCAAAGCCATCGTTTGTGGGATTCAATCTGAGAGTTCACCAGCAGTGACTGCACCTGGATGGGGTTCCACTGGTGTCTGACACATCCCTGCACGAGGTTCAGCTGCCTGGAATTGAATAAGGGATCACAGCCCCAGGAATTCCACCCCAGCGTTATTGGAACAAGGTAATCACCACAGAGAGCACTTAAAAATCTAGTTATGCTGGTGGGTTCTTGGAGCATGTGCTGATGTCTTAACCTGACCTTCACCCAGCTTCAGGTTCTATAGGAAAAGTGGCCATAATGTCAGAGAAGTGAATAGAATCTCAGAGCCAGGAATTTAACTTTTTTCCCTGTAGCAGTTAATGGACTAATGTACGTGACAACTTTGTTTTGTCACATCACACAGACTGTCCAGTGTGTATTTTTCACAGAATCCCAAAATGGCTTATGTTGATGGGACCTTAAAGTTCATCTCATTCCACCCCCTGCCATGGGGGGTCACTCCTATTCCCAGGTCACTCCAAGCCCTGTCCAACTTGGCCTTGGACACTTCCAGGGATGGGGCAGCCACAGCTTCTCTGGGCAACCTGTGCCAGGGCCTCCCCACCCTCACAGGGAAGGATTTCTCTCTTGTTATCCCATCTAAACCTACTCTGTCAGCTTAAAAGCCATTAAATTTCTAATTAGCAGCATTTTTAATGCACCCAGAGGAAATGGAGGGGTAAAACTATGGTGAAGCACAAGGGAAGAGGATGTTTGGCAACAAGGGGGAAAGGTTTTTGCAGGGAATCATGCAGATTTTCTTGGGTCAGATAAACACTGAGGCTTTTGGACACCTTCCCTCCCCATTTCCCTTTTGGTGCCCACGAGGAAAAACCCTGGTGCATGGACACCTTTAACCCCTGGGGTTGAGCCTCAAACTGCTGCACCACAGAAGGGGCTTTAAGAGGGGCAAGAAACTTTACTCTGCATCCCCTTGGACTGGATTTCTTTGCAGCCATCCCCTGTGACTGGATCCTTCCGTGTGGAGCCCCCAGGACACGAGAGCAGGTCCCAAGGCATTCATTTAATTTTTAATGCGCTGCCTCGCACACGCTGGAGGTGTCTGCAGGGATGGGGTGGTAGGGCTGGCCCCAGCCCCTGCCAGCTCTCACTAATGCTTCCTGTCCCTCCACAGGGCCTCCTGCCAGGGCTCCTCCCGGCCTGGGGATGCTGGCAGGGCAGCAGGAAAGCCATCTTGCCTTCACACTGTCAGCGTTTCCACCGCTGACTCCGGTGGCGTGGGAAGGAGGCAGCAGCTGGCCGAGGCCAAGCCTGTGTAAGTGCCCTGTGCTTGAGTCATTTTCCAGGGTTTGGGATGTTGGGCACGAGGAGAAATAGGCCTGAAGCTCGTGGGAGCTGGTGGTGGAGAAAATGGTTGAGAACAAACGCTGTGGGCACGGGGTAGGCACAGAGCAGTAGAATAGAGAAATAGGATTTTCTCAGCCGAAAAGTATGGCCAGACCTCTGATGTGCAGCCTGAGAGTGGAGTTACTAAGGGTCTGCATGTCCCTGCTGGCTCTTCCTTCCAGCAGAAGCCCTTCCTCTGTCACACACACTTTCCCTGTGGTAGGAGACTGCCAGATACTGTGCCTGGAGATACCTGGCTGAGGGTTAATTCCTGAGGCAGAGCTCTGGGCTGGTCAGCCTTGGGAGCTGGTTGTGGAGAGCAGGGGAACCAAGGGTGATAATCAGGCAGTTTCTGTTTGCAGTGGCTGTTGGGAAACAGAAATATCCTGGGAAATGGATCCCAGGGAATGCTTTGCTACAAAGTGTTGCTGAAGGTAATGGTGTAACAGTGCTGGGTGTAACCCAGATGATGAGGAGAAACAGAGTTCTGTGAGGAAATGTTTGTGCCAGAGGAGCTTCCAGGCACCTTGTGCACATAGTGAGGAAGCTGAGTTTTCCCTTCAGGCAGGTTGTTGCCCATCTTTGATTTTCTTCTCAAGAGCCTGGCCAAGTCTGCCACGAGACAGAGCAGCAGTCTGGGTCTGTGCCTTTGAGCCGTGCTCTGTGTCTGCAGCCTGGAGTGAGGGGTGGAGGGCAGGTGTGTCTGGTGGGAGGAACGTGCCTCAGTCACACCGGGAACCTGTGGAACTGGAACGCTGGTAGCAGAGGGCTCTTCCAGTCTGGTGGTACAACCAGGAAGGATTTCATTGCAGTGTGAGTTTTTGGGGTGTGTGTCTTCCATGTTCTTGGAAATTGCCACCGTCCTTCAACAGAGTTTTTTGAGTTTTAGTATTGCCTTGGCAATTGTGACTCTTAGTATCTCGTCTAGATGTGCTGCTTTTGTTTCTGCTTGGAAGCACCTTGTGCAAATTCAAATGTGGCCCTTGGGGACGTGGTTTAGTTGTGGGGGGTTAATGGTTGGACTCAATGACCTTAGAGGACTTTTCCAACCTGAACAAGTCTACCATTCTAATTTTGTTTCATTTTATTTTTAGAAGTGCATTAGATTATTTCAACTAGGATTTATTTTTAAGTTATCTCTCAGAGTGTTTGCCTTTACACACCTGTGCAGTGTTTTCCCCTTGGAGAAGGTGTCAATTTGCACATGGATATATTTCTGTGGGATGAGCATCAGACTATGTTATTGAGTGCAGTGGCTTGGTAGGTTTTCAAAACTAAAAAAAAAACCAGATTAAGTCCATATTTTCATGGGCAAAACGCGTGTAAGGGAAAAAGCCTTGGGCTTCCCAAAGTAACTACAAAGTAACAGCAGAAGGGGAATGACTTTGCCCAACTTGTTGCTTCCCCTTTCGCTTCATTTAACAACAGTTTCTACCATACCCATTCATCCCACCCCTTTCAGCTTGGTTAGTTGAGAGGGAACGTGGCCATCCGTGGGAACAACCTGTTTGTCTAACTGGGATTACTCACTGATATTGGGAAGTGCTGGTAATTAACCTGGTAATTACTTCCAGATGAGTTGTCACCAAGCTGGAGGTTTGGGCTTTGTGACACTGTGAGTGGAAGGTTCATGCTGAGAATACAGACAAATAGGTTCAGTAATTTTCAAAAATTAAACCATCATCCTTTCTGTCAAGGCTGGAGATGCTGCTTTTAACCATCAGCAGCAAAATGTCTGCACCTGCCCCATTCTTTACCAAATGTGGGCTCTGTAGAAAGAAGAAAATGACTGTTAATAACTGGGATAACTGGTTGGAGCCCACAATGCCCCTGCTATTCTAGTTCTAGCTTCTCCAGGCGTTCATTCCTACCCGGTTATTTCCATGGGAATCGATGGCCCACCCCTCTTTGAGCTGTGGGGGTTAAGACAGACACAATCCTAAAATACGCGGCATGTTCTCGCTCACTCCCAGACACTGCAATCTTCTGTCCCTGCCAACTTGCTTGATGGATATTAATAGTTGAGTGAAGGGTGATTTTTTAGGATGTTTCTTAATATCCTAGCATTTGAATATAAATTATATATGTATTTATACACGCATTTTTGCTGCATTCCCAAGGACTGGATATGAACCAGCACGAGTGACAAACATGGAAGTATATTCCTATCAAGGTTCTTGTAGGCTTCCTGGTGACAGAACATTTCAAAGAGCCTTTCTGAGTGCCAGAGGAGCTTTTCCCAAGTTCGAGGGGCTTAGTCCATTCAGACTCCCACTGGAAATCAGGCGTCTGAGGAGCTGTAGGGAGGTGACTCTGGGGGAGCAGTCTTGGAAACCAACGGAGAAGAAAATATCCAAAAGAGCCAGGCTGATAATTCTGACAGGCTGGAAATGAAGCAATATTCCAGAGATTACACCAGGAAGTGGATATTAGTAACTTTGGCAAAGCATCTGAGTGTGGAGGGGCAGGAGCCAGATAAGGAGTTTGAGACAGGCACAGAGGAGAGGAACTCCAGATGGCAATTAAAGAGTCAGGAGTGAGTGCGGGGATGAAGAGCAGGGAAAAGGGAATGATAACTAAGGAGGTGAATGAATCCAATGGTTTGTTGATTCCTGAACAAAGGACATGGATACCACTAGTCCATAGCTGTACTGAAAGCTGTGGGTGAGGGACAGTGGATGGGAGGGAACGAGCATGGACACGAGGAGGGTGAGGACACACACGGATGGGAGCAGAGGGACCAGGATTAGCACAGGAAAGGTGAAGCAGCAATGTCTGCCTCTGACCTTGGCCGTGCAAGAGGGACATGGGGGAAAGAGGAAAGGCACCCTGGCTGTGGGATAGCAGTTTTCTCTGGAAAGACAGGCAAAATCCTGCCCAGGAAAGGAGGAGAAGGGAAAGTGCTGCAGAAGGGCAGCCGGGGTCGAGTTTCAGGGGTTGCGTTACACTGTCAAAGGGAGGCTGTTTATGTGGGAAGGTGGCAGGACTGGAGCGGGAGAGGATGACTGCAGTGGAGGAAGTCAAAGCCGGGATGGGGTTTCCACCAGGAATGACAGAGCAGCGGGAGGGAGAGCAGCACTAGAGGAAATGGATGCTGGGGGCGAGCCAACATTGTCTTTGCGACAGGAGCGGGTGTCAGAGGAGGAGGGGCGAGAAGGCTGGAGAGACCCAATAACCAAATAAATGTTCGGGAGAAGGGAAGGCGAGCCGGGAGCGGCTGGATAACACCCGCGGGAGGCTGTGGGAGCGCGGGCCGGCGGAGGGGCAAGACCTGGCGTGAGCGCAGGGCAGGCCCCGCAGCAGCAGCAGCACAGGTGAGGGTGCCCGGGGGATGCGGGGAGATGCGGCGGCCGCGCCGAGCCCCCCGCGCCGCAGAGTCCGCAGGGCAGGGATGCGGGGCCGTGCCGAGCCCTCCGCAGGGCAGGGTCCTTGGGGCGGGGGATGATGCGGGGCCGTGCCGAGCCCTCCGCAGGGCAGGGTCCTTGGGGCGGGGGATGATGCGGGGCCGTGCCGAGCCCTCCGCAGGGCAGGGGCGCGGGGCGGGGGCTCCCGCGCTGTCCCCGCCCCTCGCTCGCCCCTCTCTCCGCGCCGGGCGGAGCACACGCAGCGCAGCGCCGGGGGCTGCGGGCACCGCCGGCACCGCCCGCCCTCCGCACCGAGCGAGAGCCGCGCCGCACGGAGGTAGGGCCGGCCGGGAGCCGGGCACCGGGAGCCGGGGCTGAGCGCGGAGCGGGGAGCGCGGAGCGGGCCCGGCGCTGTCAGACGCGCGGCGGCCCCGCCCTGCCCGGCCCTGCCCTGCCCCGCGGGCCCGGCCCGTCCCCGGGGGCCGCGGCCGCCGCCCCTGCCCCTCTCTCTGCCTCGCTCGCTCCCTCCGCCGGCCGGAGCCGCCCGCGGAGCCGCCCCCGCGCAGCCGCACGCCCGGTGCGGTGCGGTGCGGAGCGGTGCGGTCCTGCTGCCCTGCGCTGCTGCCCCGGAACGCACGTAATGCCCGAGCGCTTCGGGAGCCGGGGCGGGGGGCGGCGCGGGGGGCGCGGGCACTGACAGCGCGGCCCCCGCGGGGCTTTGTGTGCGGGAGCGCTGCGGGGCTGCGGGCGGGGGTGCGGGGCTGGGTGCGGGGCTGCGGTCCGGGAGCCGCCGCTTTCCCCCGCCTGTCCCCGCGGCCGGGGCTCCCGCAGTGAGCGGCGCGATGCGTGGGGCGATTCGGCCGCTCGGGGCTGGCTCCGCTCTTAGGTGGGTACAGGCCTGATTTAACAAAAAAAATATGGCAGACTTGTGCTAGAGACACAGACTGCAGCAGCGCTGAACGCCGCGCTCAGGGCACCGCGGCGGCGGGGTTAGTCAGGAGCTGATGTTTTTCCTCTCGGAGAGATAATATAAAAGCAGAGCGAGCGCTGAATTTGTGATGTTGGTGTCTAAATCGCGAGTAAAATTGTTTAAAGGTGAGTAGCGATCTGTATTTCTGTATCGTACTCAGCGTTGTCTATAGGTATAAATGCTAAGTGTTCAGAACCAGGAGCAGGATTGCAGGGAGAGGGAATAAACTGTCAAGATCCGGAGCGTTCTGTACATCCTTCGACCTCTATTGACAGGATACGAGCATTATGAAACCTGCTCACTGAGCAGTTCGGGAGAAAGACTGGAATTCCCGCAGCCCGGCATCCGCTGACAGGCATCTCGGGAAACAATGCTCCCCGGAGCCGGGGCTGGGGAGGCAGGGCACGGAGGGGAATCTGTTCCGAGGGATATCAGCCGTGTGAAAATGTCAGGGGAGGCTGTGACTCCTCGGGCCATTGCAGGAGGAAGGACTTGCATATGCTCAGTAGGCTCTGGAGAGAGAGAGACAGGAGATGAAAATGCAGTGGGATCAAGGGCTGGGAAGGTGGGTGACGGCAGTGAGATGTGATTTCTAAAGAGCTGATATTATCCTTCGGAATTCTGGTTTTTCTCTCTGTCTGTCGGTAACGCAGAAACGGCTGTAATGATGCCTCCATGACTTAGCAGTGGTTGTGGGGCCGTGGGGAGGGACTAGGGGCTGGCTTCATGTGTCACAACCAGTGCTGGATAAGCAAAAAAGAAAAAAAAAAAACGAAGGGAATATTTTGTTATTTCATGCAGTAGCATAACCACGGAATTACCAAGGAGCTCAGGGTCTGGAACACCACCCGTTTGGGTTTGTCTGTAATGCAGGTTAAGTGCAGCAAATGACACTCAGTCTAAAGCAGGATGCAGCATTTTGGGATAAAATAGCAGCTCGCAGCAGTTGTGTGGCAAAAAGCGTCAGAGGTGCTGTTTCATCTCTGTGGTGGCACCGATCCTGCAGCTTTTGGGATTGCTTGCTGTGTGTTCCTGAGCCCTGCCTGCACCCAGGAGTGAGCAGAGAAGGGTGAGCCCCTCACGTTACGTGTGTGTGAGCCCAGGACGCTGCCCCTGGGCAGCACAAACCGTTTCATGGAAGATGTCTCCTTTTCCTTCATCACATGTAAAATGGAATCAGCTGAACCCCCTGTATGGGATGGGCCTGGAATGCTCGTGTGCATTACGTCACCTGACTAAGGATTTATTTTTCATGTGGGTCAGTTACAGCATTTCACATCTGTAGTTGGATTATTAAATTATTGTATTTCATTAGCAAGGAGTGCCTGGACATCTTCTGTGGAGCACGGAGGGAAAGCTCTGCTCATGCAGATGTTTAAGGCTCGGGCTGCAAAAGTTATTTAGCCCCTTAATCTCTATAGGCACCTAAATTCCTTAGTCATCTGATCTGGGCACAAGTGCACAACCAGGACAACAGTTTGTCATTGCCCGTTAGCCATGAGTCAGCTCCTAAATCCTGCCCAGGCCGGTGGCTGTGGCCACAGGCCTCCTGCTCCCTGTTCCTGGGTCCAGGAAAACCTCTGGAAGTGGTGGAGCCCCAGGGGATGGATGGAGAGCCAGGGCGAGGAGCCCCCAGCACCCCTGGGACCCTGGGGGGTTGTGTAGGAGAGCAGAGCCTGGGAAATCCTGGTTAGACCAGGCCTGTGCTCGTGGTAGGGACTGTGTGGATCCATAAGGGATTTTCTGGCACACCAGCTCACACCGTGGGCTGCTCCTGTTCCCAGCTGATGGAGCTGCCAGCATGTTGGACCCTTCCCTCTGGAAGCTCCTGGCAGCTTTCCCAGGTCAAACCAGCAGGAATCTGGCCTAGAGATATTAAATGTGAAAATCTGGTTGCCTCCTCTTGCTTTCTAGTGCCTTTCCACCTTGGAAATCACCTCGTGTTGGGCTGTGCTCACCAAACACCACTTGTCTGGTGGAGCAAGTGTTGGAGTCACATGGCACCGAGGGGGGTGTGAGCCCTGCTCTGCAGAGCCTGTGGCAGAGCCTGCTTTCCCCAGTGCTGGGTTGTTGTTGTGTTTTTTTTTTCCCCACATCTGGTTTTCATTTGTCAGACTTTTATTATTGCTCTTAAAATGATCTGTTGTGAATTTGTTTTTCTAATGAACACGAATACAACGTTGCAGCAGTTACAGCTGGACCTCTCCAGGCTTTGCCTTCCTTTAATGAAAAAAGGGTTTCAGAGAGATTACATGGTAAAAAAAAAAAAAGAGAAAGACACAATAAAAATTCTTTTTATGCCCAGTAGACCCCGGCTTCTTCAACAGCTTGATCAGAGTGATACAGATCAATTCTACATAGACTTAATCAGACAGGTTTTTTTCTATTTCATCCAACTTTATTTCATTTTTGTGTATTGTTAATCCCAGACATATTTTTTTTACTGGCCATTCCTGATTAAAAAAGCCCAGTTTTGCATGGAAAAAGCTTTGATGTGTATTGTTAGGTGATGGTTGAGTTCATAACAGATTTTATGGCTGGGGGGTTGTGTCTGGAAGTGTTATTTCTGCTTGTAGTGAAATGTGTGTGATTAGCAAAAGATGTGCACCAATGTGTAATCTTTGTGCTCAGGGATTGTGAACATCTTCCTGTGGCCAAGGGCAGATTAAGGTTGAGGATTATATTGAGTTATTGTTTTTCAGCACCATTAACATTTTTCTCAGCCTCTTCTCTGTGAGGGTTTCTCTCGTGGAATGGTGAAAATTTCAGGATGTTCTTACTTTTTCACGTCTTTTCGATTTCCTGATGCTCTTTTCATGTATTGATTATTTAATATATGTATATATTCTTGATATATTGCACAAACTCATATTTATTTCCGAGCTGCATGTGTTTTATCACACCAGAAATCCCTTTGGTGTGTCACCACTGCCGCCAGAGAAACAAACGACACCATTGTGCAGTCGCTTTTATTTCACCATGCGCTGAGTATTGGAACTTTAAAAAGAAATGGTTTGATTTATTCAGCAGCCCCTCACCCCAAGAGGGCAGAGGGAACAAAAGAGCCCCTCCATGTGAAGCCCTGGAGGCAGCAGGTGCTGCCCCACACCTGTTGGACACTGGGAATAGCCTGGCTGGTCATGCCCTTGGAACAGGAGAGGTGTGCCATTAACACCCCGTCCTGGGAGCTAAAAATACTCTGCCATGGAGCTGCTCACAGGTAAATGTTCCACATTTAGCAGGTTTGCCGTTTGCTGGGATTCCAAACAGGGGCTGTTCCCTTTTTGGGACAAGTAGCCAGGCCTGAAGTTACACCTGCTGAGCAGTTTGCCAGGGATGTGTGAAACACATTCAGGAATGGTGTTCCTAGGTTTGGTCTCCTGGTTTTTGCTCACACGTAAAGCTGTACAAAAAGGGAAACCACTTCTCTTCTGTTCAGGGAACATGGATGCTGTGTGGATCAGAGGAGCTGTGGGCTTGCCTTGGAAAAGAATGAGGAGCAAAGTGTTTGTATTTTATTTTTGAGACAAGAATAGAGACTGACTGAAAGCTCAGTTTGACTGGTGTGAGCACTGGGTTTGGTTTTGTTGATCATGGCTCAGTTCAGCTGTGGGGAGGTGGGATATCCCTGAAATGGGCAGTTGCTGCTCCCTGTGTGGTATGTAGGGTCTGGAAGACACAGAGTTGCAGACATGGGAAGATTTCTGGGGTGGAAGATGTAACCAGAGACAAGGGATGCAGAGCTGGAGCAAAGCAGCCCTGCTCTGCTGCCCAGGGAGGGACTGGCACCCAGGCTGATGGATTGGAAGGAGCCAACTTAATGACCAAAGGGAGTGAAGTCCCCCTGTAGGAAGTGCTGGACTGGCTGTTGAGCTCCTTCCTGCCCTCAGTCC